TTCTATTGAAGCTTGTCCACAGGCTAGATTTTTGTCGGGACCGATCGAAATCGCAACCGACTATTTTCGCCCGACGCGACGCTCTTGCACGATCATTATTGTCGGCAGTCGTGTGTCATAATAATCAAAAGTGCTGATAAACCTTCTTCTACCGTCACAGATGTAATTGGTGTCCCTTCTGGCAGTTAATGGTCGAGCAAGGTCAGCCAAAAGGAAAAAAAAAACTACTCTTGGACATACATTTAAATTTTTGTTCATGATTCGCAAGTTCACGGGCACAAATGAAAGCACCTCTGTTTCTATTATTAGTTATGTACGGATGTACCCAATGGCCCGTATGAATAAAAATAAGCAAATGCTTATACTTGCAAAATTCAAAGTAAATACTCGTAACTGCCCCTTCATGCTGGTCTGTATAGCAGCACTGCACTGCGTCCTGTCCTGCTGCTCAGCAGCGCTGCTAAGTCGCCCAGTGGGAAGGAGCACTTACGAGTATTTACTTTGAATTTTGCAAGTATAAGCACATGCTTACTTTTATTCATACGGGCCAATAACTGTGGCGGCGAATTTTCTTTCCCCTGTGGTGCAAAGCATGCGACAACTGTTTCGTCTTCACTTGACATTTTATCGAAGATGAATGTCAACTGTCAACCCGATAAAAATCGTTCGAAAGGCGATCGACCTATCTATGTGAATTGCCAATATTTTAGTCGGCCCGATCAATCTGGATACGACTACAGTTGGACCGATTTTCGTCGCCCCGATTCGGTGGACATCCGGCGTATTATAGTGCAAACGGTGGGACGGACGATCAGACTGACGATAATGATAAAGTAGTTGCTCCCAATCTGGCGCTAATTAATAATGATGGTTTCTGAGTTAATTTTGTGGTCGATATGTCGCGCGGAATAGTTATTTGTGCAACTAGTTTTGAAAGTGATACTTTTTTTTAATGAATTTGCATTTTGATAAATGAGGGCGAAGCCCGAGTTAATCATGCAAATTCATGAAAAAAAGACACTTTCAACACGTGTTGTACACGAAGATTTTTTGCATAGTGGCCGCGGACGATTTTGCGGTCTTTTTTAAGGCCTCAGTACCACACACACGTAGTCTGGCGCCAAGGAGTACACTCACCCCAAGAAACAACCCTGTGTTGAATACATCCTTCTTTTTTACACCGACTTCTTCAAGTGAAGTGTATAACATAATACATTCTCTAAAACGTGGTACATCGCCGGGCCTTGATGATATACCCAACTCTCTCTTAAAATGCTGTGCCAATGCCATTGCTCCCCAACTATCCAGCCTCATTAACTACTGTGTTACTCAAGGTGTATTTCCCGAAAAATTAAAAAGTGCGCGCGTAGTGCCTGTGCATAAAAAAGGTGACACAGCAGTTGTCTCCAATTACAGACCGATATCCTTATTAAGTTCCTTTTCGAAAATTTTTGAGAAATGTGTTAACGAGAGACTAACAACGTTTTTGCAAAAATTCCACATTCTTTCCGACAGTCAGTACGGTTTCCGCGCTGGGTTATCTACAGAAGACGCCACAACGCACTTAGTGCAGCATATATATGAGGAACTCGATTCAAATAAACATTGCTTTGTTGTGTTATTTGACATCAGAAAAGCTTTTGACAGTTTAGATGTAGGTATTTTATCAAGGAAACTTGAGGATGCAGGTATTCGCAATGAATGCCAGGATTTCATCTTGTCATTCTTGGCTAACCGAAAGTACATCGTGAATTATGAAAATACGTCTTCATTCGAATATACGTTGAATTTAGGAACGCCCCAAGGCAGCAACTTAGGCCCCATCTTGTTCGTACTATACATTAACGACCTGCCACGATATATACTGCACGGAAAAACCTACATGTATGCTGACGACACTGCTGTAGTAGTGAGCGCCGATAATCCTGACCAAGCTGCAGAAAAGTTAAATCAAGTTATAGCGGAATTTACATTTTGGTGTCAAACAAACAAACTTACAGCGAACACTGAGAAGACGATAATTTTGTCTCGGGTCAAAGTGGGACTCCCATAGAGAGCGCAGTAATACCATGCCAACCAACGTCCACGTACCTAGGATGCAAAATAGACGATAACCTCTCCTGGAACTCTCATCTGGATCACGTTCGTAGCAAATTAAACAAGGCATACTACCTAATATGTCGTATTAGGAACCAATTTGACCCCACTCACATTATTGAAGTGTATTAATCGCATGATGAGATTATGCAACTGAGCTGCGACTATTTGGTGTGTCCTTATCACAATTGAAACATTTAAATAACATCTAGAAATTGTCAACATAATATTACAAATCAGTAAGTTAGCGTAGGTGAATTTTATTTTATTTTTATTTTAATTTTACTTTATTTTAATTACGAGGTAAAGAGCTATTAGATCTCATCGAGACTAAAGCTCTTTGTATTTTAAATGACGACTCCTCTACTTACTTTAACATAAGATCAGGCACTTTTGACACCATTGATTTGTCTATATGTTCTCCGTCTCTATACACTGAATTGAAATGGGAAGTGGAAAATGATCTATTTAATAGTGACCACTTTCCCATAATCTTGACTTTTCGAGGTGTCAACATTCCTGCAATAAGATCTACAGCAAAATTCAAAATCCAACAAGCAGATTGGGAATATTTTACTCACCAACTATGTCCTCCTCCAAATGATGACAAGCTAAACCTGGTGAATATCACATCCTCCATTTTGGAAGCTGCAAAGAAAAGTATACCTATGTCAAAGGCTAGACAGATCACTAGATCTGTCCCATGGTGGTCATCTGTAATAAAAGAAAAAATAGCAATTAAAAAAAGAGCATTAAACAAGTTCCGACGTAATCCTTCCCTGGATAACCTGATAGTCTTTAAAAAACGCAGAGCTGAATGTCGTCGGGAAATTCTCCAGGCACAAAGAAGGTCGTGGCAACACTATGTATCCACCATAACGACGGACGTGACTATGAGTGAAATATGGAAAAAAGTGGGTTCGATATCTGGCAAATCTAAACTAAACTACCCGGCATTCCTTCGGAAAAACGATGGGGTGGTTACGAAAGATTTACAAGAAATTTCGTACCTCTTGGCAGACCATTTCTATCAGGTCAGTAGTTCGTTACTATAACTTACCTTTTAGTATGGATGAATTAGAATCTGCACTTAAAAACACGAAATCCTGCGCTCCCAGTCACGATAGTATCCACAATCAGATGCTTCGTCATTGTAGCAACCCGATGAAACAAGTGATTTTAGATTTCTTTAATTTTTGTTGGGAAAATAGTATCTACCCTGATGAGTGGAAACGGGCCATAGTCGTTCCCTTTCCATGGCATCACAGATTATTGAAAAAGATGGGGGTTTTATTTTCCAATTTTCCCTCTTTATTATGCAAAAAATTGAAAACTAATAGGGTTGATTGACGTAAAAAATTTTTTCCTACAAAAAACCTTAATACATTTTTGCTCTAAAATAATTTGGGGAGCCAATCATCGCATGTTATGAATTTTACATTGAAATCCCTATGATGCGTTACGCAAGTCACCACCCTGTATACATCCTAAAATTATTAATGTACATGCGCTCGCACTCAGATAGTTTCCGTAGAGTAGGAAGTACACACAATTATAACACAAGAGGAAAAACAAAATATTAATTCACAAACACCATTATGAGTGTTATAAAAAATCATATGGCCTCTAAATTGTATAATTTGCTACCCCAGGACCTGACAAACTGTGTTATTAAACAATTTAAATCTCTCATCAAGGCTGTTCTCCAGAAAAATGCTTTTTATTCGGTTCAAGAGTTCATACACTTTTATACTTCTAGGCTATAGTTGATGTAATACCTATACATTTGTTTGCCCAAATTGTTATACATATTATTGTTTGTTAATTTTAACTTATGACGTATCGATGACTGTGATGACGATCGAACGATTAAATTATTATTATTATTATTACTAGCTGACCCGACGGACGTTGTCCTCTTTCTTAGGTATGAATAGTGAATACCTATTCAATTCGGACTGGAATAAAATAAATAATAACAAAAAATTATTTCAAAAAATTTGCTGTGGCTAGCACAGGTACCACTCGCCCCACCTGCGCATGCGCAATTTTGCTCTTTTTATGTCTAAGAATATGTGTTGCAAATTTGGTTTAAATCGGTTCAACCGTTTAGTCGGAAAAGAGATTTTGACACACTTGCCCCAAAATTTTCCCATCTCTCCCCAAAATAATAAAAAATAAACGCACTCACTTCTAGTTGCTTTTGGCGATTCAGAGCTAGCAATGTACCTTTTTTTTGTTGTGCCAAACGCCGTAATTTGAAAGCAATTATTATTGTATTTCTGAATATGAGACAAAAAAATATAGAATCTGGCTCATTTCCGGAAACCAAGGGCTTTAGTGGCTCTGGTGGCGGTACCAATGGCGTCAATTTCACTTGGCCATTGGCGCAACATAATCCCGGGCCTTATATATAAATTTTACTTTTGTAAGTTTAATGTATCTTAAGCTAACCAGGTCTAAAAAGATTTAAAAATCAAACAAAATATTTTGTTATTTTCGCTCCTGTAAAATTTATGTTTTGTGACTTAGGACACTTTTCCTTTGGGGTACAGAGATATGGAGCCACCTCAAATTTGTCCGTAGGACCCTACCAGAAGTGATAAACTCTGATAAACCGGAAGTAGTGCATACTTACTTATAGAAAACGCACTGTAGCGTCTATGTCGTTGGAGATATCAGGAAGTGGTCTTTAAAGTGACCGGAAGCACAGATAAAGTAGTTACTGTGTGCCGGAAGTAATACAAGTCATGGAAATATCGTTCATCGTCTCAGATTTATAGGTACTTACTAGAATGAATTTCTTGCTTCAAAAATGAAAACAACCCAAATTCCAGATTTTTTAATAAAAATTGCATAAAATTTACATTTTTTACAGTATTCTTACTTTTAACCTAATTTATTTATTTTTATTCATATCTAACTTTTATACAACATTTTCCAATTTTTTGAGCATCATAGGTATTGCAAAGGTTTTAACATGTAGGTATGTACCACAATTTTTGAATTAGTTGTATAGTAATGGCAGTGAAGTGTATAAGGAATAGAAAATATAAATGTTTACATTTTCTTAAAGATACAGGTAGCTACATATAATTAGTGGTACAATATGGTTGTAGCGCTGTAATGGGTATAATGTCCTCTTGATGATTTTATTTGAAGCATACAGGACCAACTAAGAAACCAAACGCTTGGTTAGAACTACCGTAATCAACGGGATAAAAGTCGACGATCGGTAATTGACTTAATTTTTTGGTACGAATTTCAAAGATTGTTTCACTTTTGGTTGTTCTCGTTTTACACCCGTCGATAAGAACGTTTGGTTTTATTGCCGTATTGGAAAATTCTTGTTCATTTTCTCCTAGTAGCTTTATTGAGAGATCGTTATTCATTGTTTTTGAATTGTACCACGCGACTCCATTAATACACGAATAGGTAAAATTTTGGTATGCGTCCTGAGAGAGCAATTTTAAAAACGTCATCTGCACAACACCTACTGTCTCGTATGTTATCTAAAATGGTTTAACATTTAAAACAAAAAGGCGATTTCATAAGATGTATCTACCTTAAAACCACCTCGCAAGTTTGAATACCAATTATTCGAATTTCCCTCCTTCCTCCATGGAATATTAGGCATATGGGCGCTGTGTACATCTGGAGGTACGCATGTCTCTCCACCGTTCGATAGGTCGCAATACACATATATGGCATCATCTGGCATGCCGCTATTTGGATCAATCCAATACCAACCTAGAAAATAACCACTTAAACATTTATATATGACGAGCGGCGATCCAATATGTCAAACACTCAGAGCAATAGATTTCTTCATCAAATATTCTGTGTAACCCAACGCACAAAGAATATTCGAGAATCTACGGCTACACTTTCAGTCATCTCCGTCATCAAAGCACAAAACTATGTTTATTTGTGATACTAAAAACAGGTAAGGATACATTTCGTTTGAAACGTCTATCACCAGTCATAAGTAGCCTTGACTTTGGAAGGTACAGATCTCTGCAGTGTGGTTCTAGCAAGATGGTGCCACGCTGCTCGCCAAACAATGGATTGTTTTAAGTAGAAGTTTACATGTCCCATGATTTCCCGTAGTAACGGGCCTTCGATTTTGGGAGTAACGTTACCTAAACGTTTTATTCGTAAATTGGACCTAATTTGCGTTCGTTCGTTAGGCATTGAAAATTGTACCGACCGTATATGAGCTGTTATCCAACGAAGTCGCGGAGGCAAATTAAATGGTGTTGTCTTACGCAAGTTATGTCATTAATGGTGTTTCAAAATAAATACAAAATTGTTGGTATATTGAAAGCTTAATTTGGGTAGATTTATCACATTCAAATTTGGGAACGTTGTGCTCAGATAAAGCGCCAATTTTAAATATCCTAGCAAGATCAAAATCGATACCACCTGAATTATACCCTTACAATTTATAGAACTTGTTTTATTTAACTTACGGAGTGTACTACGTGAGCGGAAACACGCGGCCGGTGCGGTCGTCGCGGCTATTTCAAAGCATGATAGTTTATTAGAATGTCCTACCTAGCAACCACGTACCACGCGGCGCGCACTGCTAAAGCGTTTTTGAGGCGACACAGGAGGTCAAAATATTTGATATTTCCGCGTCTGCCGCTTCAGTCTTAACAACATGCGCTTGCATCACTTTATGTTCGGTGCTTGCACGTAGGACATTCGCTGGTCGCGTTTGCCGTTTACGCCGCGCTTGCAGCGTCAACCGCGCCGGCGGCGTTAGCCGCGTGTTGCCGCTCATTTAGAACACTGCGTAAACTATCATGCTTTGATATAGCTGCGACGACCACGCCGGCCGCGTGAGTTGTCGCTGACGTGGGACACTGCGTTAGCTTAATTACTTAATGTAAGAAACCTACCATTCAAATATTGTGGATGTCCATAGAATAGATCTTTACAACTCCTTGCAGGGTTTTCTTTTGTACCTAAAGGTTTTTTAATGCGATCTAAATCTTGTCTCATACTATATATGCTGTTATACATATCCAAAAATTTCAAATCCTCGTCCCTTAGTTTATTTTGTCCAGCGATTTGGGGATTAATATACTTTAAATCTTTCTCAAAATCATTTCTGAAGATAGATAATTAGACGAAGTTAGGGGCAAGTCAAATAATTACATTAAACTTTCCACACTTCTGCGTGATCTGGATAATTCTTGTTGGAATAAGAGTTCTGGTGGTAGTAAAGGCATATCAGCAGGTGGACCAGGAGGCCCCGGAGGTCCAGGGGGACCTGCTTCACCTTTAACTCCTGTAGGACCCAATAGGCCTTTGAGTCCTGTAGGACCTTCGATACCCATGGGACCTGGAGGTCCATCATTCCCTTTTAACCCAATATTTCCAATAGGACCCTACCAATATCAATATAATTAGCAATTGTTATTTTAAATGAATTAACTTACAATTTCCCCTTTCTTCCCCTCCGGTCCTATAGGCCCCTTAGGACCAGGTTCACCTTTTTCGCCCATTTCACCCTTAATACCAGGCGGGCCAATGTCTCCTCTATGTCCTTTCATGCCTCTTCGTGTTCTTTCCCCTTTCTCGCCTTTGGGACCGGTTTCGCCCGTTTTACCAGGGAGACCATCACCACCGGCTTTACCTGGTGGACCCACATCTCCCTAATAAAAAAGCAAAATACTCAAAACTCAAAACAATCCAAACAGAAAACTGCGTATTTTCCTACCGCCGGTCCAGGAGATCCTCTTGGGCCTGCTACACCTTGCGTTCCAGGAACACCTTGAGGGCCAACGGGTCCTTGCAACCCAATGGGTCCAGGAACTCCTTTGTCTCCCTTATCACCAGGTAATCCAGTGTTTCCTTGAAAACCAGCTGGACCTTCGGGACCCTGGTCAATACATGAATATAATTCTCAACACCAAAAATGAACTCTTACCTGTTTCCCTGGCGAACCTGCGGGTCCTACTTTTCCAGGAGGACCCGCTTCACCTGGTTCTCCGGCATCTCCTTGCTTGCCATCTGCACCTTCTTTTCCTGGTTCGCCCTTGGGTCCTATTTCGCCAGGTACTCCCGGAGGACCTTAGAAAGGTATCTTACTCTCTATTCGTTTGACTTAAAAGCTATCCATACCTGGAAATCCTGGAGGACCAGCGGACCCTTTAGGCCCTTCCGGACCAACCACTCCCCTCGGCCCTGGTGCGCCTTGATGGCCCATTTTTCCTTCATCTCCTTTAGATCCAAGCGAACCCTTCTCGCCCTTCAATAACGTATATTATGAAGACTGTGTTAGAGAATGTCCAAGGAAGTTAAAAGGCATAAAGTAAGTTTTACCCTGCTGCTATAATAGCAATTCTAACCGAAAAGCATTGAATAAAATAATAAAAATAATTTTTTATTCAATGCCCAAAGCTTCGTATCGTATCGACAAAATGTTACTTACAGGTTTCCCTTCTATTCCAGGTGACCCACTTATCCCTGGCATACCGGAATCTCCTTTTTGGCCTTGAGGACCTTCAGGCCCTGGGGGCCCAGTAACTCCTTCAATTCCTTTTCCTCCTCTAATTCCAGGTTCGCCAGGTGGCCCAGCAGGACCAACGGGTCCTACTAGACCAATATCTCCTATTTCACCCTTTAAACCGGCCGGGCCTGGGAGCCCTTGAAGACCTTGCGGTCCCGCAGGACCTGTTGTTCCATCGGGGCCATCTTCTCCTTTTATTCCTTGTCGACCAATTTCGCCCGGCAGGCCTTTCTCTCCTGGTGGACCTACTGAACCCGGCTCACCTCGCAATCCTTGTGATCCGGAGCTACCCATTGGACCCTAATGAACCACATATCAGAAAAAAGTTTTATCTAATTTCAGTTGCACAATCGACATTATTTCTTTATTCTTAACTCCTAACCAACAAATATTACACTTACACTTTCGCCCTTTGCTCCTTTAAAACCTTTCTCTCCTGGAGGGCCAATTTCTCCTTTATCTCCGTCTTCACCTGGAGATCCAATTGGACCAGGGGGGCCAGGTAACCCTCTTTGCCCGGGTAATCCATCTCTTCCACCCGGTCCGGGTGGCCCAGTACCACCACGTTCACCCTTCGCCCCAACTGGGCCAGCAGGACCCACTGGTCCTACTCGACCTTCAGGTCCAGGGGATCCATCATGTCCGACTCCTCCTTGCGCACCTTTGTCTCCAGCGTGTCCATGCGGACCAGGTGGACCTAATTCACCTTTTAATCCGGGTATGCCCTGTTACAAAAATGTTGTTTGAGTTACAGTTAAGCTGTTCTTACCTTAGACACGTACGGGCAATCCGGCAGGACCTCTTTCACCCGGGAATCCTGCAGCACCAACAGCCCCTTGCGGTCCTGGTTTTCCTGGCGGGCCAGGCAAACCCGGTGCTCCCTCTTTGCCAGAGTCTCCTGGTACACCCGGTTCCCCAGGATGCCCAGGACTCCCAGGGATTCCAGATTCGCCAATAGGGCCTCGCTCCCCTGCCGGTCCGACCGGTCCAATTACACCGGGTGCTCCTGGTGCTCCTTGTGATCCTGACTCACCCTACCATACAAATTTGTTTCATAACATAGATACATATGAATAAAGAAACATACAGGAGGTCCTCTTTCACCATGTGGACCGGGAAGACCGTCTTTACCGTTAAGCCCCGTGGGACCTGGTAATCCAATGAAACCTCTCGGTCCTTCAGCACCTTGTGAGCCTTGGTCTCCTTGAACACCAGGTGGACCGGGCTGTCCTGTATCACCTTTAGGACCGGGGGTGCCTTCAGCTCCTCTTTTTCCTCTAGATCCTCGAAATCCTCGTGGCCCTGTTTCGCCCCTCTCTCCCGTCGTTCCAGGATTTCCCTTTTAAATTAATACTAATACCATTAAGATTACATTAACAGAAATAGGTATTATTACCCTATCGCCCTTGTCACCTGTTGGCCCGACCTTTCCATAACTACCTTTATCGCCCTTATCCCCAGGTCCCCCAGGATAACCAGCAAAACCAGGAATACCCATTTTACCTTTTTCTCCTGGTGGACCAATCACACCTGTTTCTCCACGAGGCCCATCAAAACCCTGCGGAAATTTGTTATTACATTGGATTGAAGTGTAGTGAAAGGCATTACTTTGGGACCTTCAGGTCCTTCTAATCCAGGTATTCCATGCGGGCCAGGCAATCCTTGCTCTCCTTTTCCACCTGAATCGCCTTTCTCTCCATCAATCCCGCGTTCGCCTTTATCGCCCTTTTCTCCCGCTGATCCTCTCTTTCCTTCGTCGCCTTTAACCCCACGACTTCCGGGAAACCCTATGGGACCTAGAGGTCCAGGAGGCCCATGTTCTCCTTTTGATCCTGCGGTTCCAGGCGTTCCTGGATGTCCTGGAGCACCTTCAGAACCAGATAGACCAGGTAACCCAGGTTTACCTTGAGGCCCCTACATTCAGTATCCATGTAGAAATTGAAAGGTTTCATCTCGCAATTATTTTACCATTATTCCAGGAGGTCCCAACATTCCTTGTGGGCCAGGTGACCCAACTGGCCCCGGCGGCCCTGGTTGTCCGGAAGAACCGGGTTGCCCAGTGGGTCCACTATTACCTTTCGGGCCGGGTGGCCCTTCAATGCCCGGAATACCCGGATTGCCAGGTAAACCTGGTATACCACGAGGACCGGTAAATCCACGTGGCCCCTGTTAGAACAGAATAGTGGAAAACTATCGTTCATGTTTATGATTACCATTTCTCCCGTTAGTCCAGGTAACCCAGGTGGCCCTTCTTCTCCTTGTAGTCCATCATGACCTGTTAATCCAGGTTCTCCGGTTGCGCCAACAGCTCCTCTTTCTCCTTTGTCTCCAGGCAATCCCGGCAATCCTTAAAATACAACATGAAGACCATTACCTACGCGATCTTAAATGGACACACCTATTAATCCTTGTTCCCCTTTTGCTCCTGGTGGACCTGTTAGTCCCCGTTCTCCATCGCGGCCAGGTTTTCCTCTACGACCCTCTCGACCGGGAAGGCCCGTTGGACCTCTTTCACCTCTTGGTCCCTTAAAAATCGATTTTATACTATGGACAAATCAACCTTTAGGAAAGACTGACCGGTTCACCGACATCTCCTGGTTCACCTTTTGTTCCTTCCGGACCTCTTGGACCCGAAGGACCCGGAAGACCTGCCAATCCCATAGGTCCTTCCACACCCCGCATCGCCATCTTGCAATATAAACCCGTTTAATACATTTAGCTTAAGGTGTATAATTATATTTAAAATACCATATGTTGCGAAAGCATTTGCCTAAACGATTCTGCCTGCACATCGGGACCTTTTTCATTTCCTTGGTTGTTCAGCTAAAATTGGTGTAAAATGCAATTCGACCCGATCCAGGATTCTTACCGGAATCATAAAGACGTGTCCCGGTGGTCCTGGGGTGCCTATCGTTCCTGGTATGCCATCCCTACCGGAGTCACCTTTTGGACCAGGTGGACCCACTGGACCAGCGGGTCCTGGATAACCCCTGACACCAGGCTGCCCTACATTCACATAGTAAGGGTATCTGGTATCGTGAGTAGTTTCAGTTTCTGAATGCGAATTGCCACTTGGTTCGTTGTCTGGCTAGAATACAAGTGAGAATATTGATTTATCGATATACAGTAATGTTCCAATAAATTGTCCTTTAAAACAGGTTTAACCTTAGATCATAGTATCAGAGATGTAAATAGTATGTATGATCGAAGGGTTTACCGTACATCACCACGCGCGATATGTTGTGCAGATATCTGTTTATGTGTTAATCAAAATTAATTTCATAATGGAATTTAATATTGACTACATTAGAGTACAAATATATTAGACACATGGACACCCAACTGGTTCGTACTGGGTATAACATCTCAAGAAAGCCAATCTTACACTTCAGAATGAAAAGCTCTAGACGTACCGCTTTTTAAAAGATAATCTAGTTGTCTTAGCTTTGTCTTTAACAACCCTGTTAACAACACATTGCTAGTATCTCACCTCACTGTTCCCATTTTCGTTATTATCTTCTTCGAATGATACTGACGAGTTTCTAAATACAGAGAGATCTGGTTCTTCCAATGTTTCTTCTCCAAAGTTTATATTTACATCGCCTATACATATATAGGAACGCTAGTTAACAAGGTGCAGAAAATAACTACATTTATACCTACCATTAGTATGCGTTTCAGATAACGCATCTGCATCGAATGAGAAAACAATTTCTGGTTGTTCTTCACTTGAATTGTGAGATGCGATCCCAGTAGTGATTACTGAATTCATGAAGGTTTTATTGACTAAAATACCATTCGGATGGGACGAATGTACCTGGGGTTGCGAAATGTGGATGTTATTTATTTTAGTTTCTGACATACTTCCAGCGTTATGATGCGACGTTCCATCGATGTGATGAATTGATAAACCACCTAATATAGCGTCAGTTACACCAGTTGCACTACTACCCCCACTCTGGTGAAAAGAGACGCCTTCGCCCCTTCCTGGCGCAGAGTCCGTTATAAGAGTTGCGCCTATATTCATACTGTTCGTTCCACCGGAGGTCGTCACACGATTTTCTGAACGGCCACCACTAGCTTGGTGAAATGAACCCGTTTCACTAACGCGTATGGGGCCCAGTATACGTTCCACGGCAGAATGTGCAGTGTCTTGTCCTAAACTGGCATAAGTATTTTGACTAAGTGATACACCTGCTTGCGAAGAACCAGTAGTTTGTTGTGCGTTACTGCCTCCAGCAATATTTCCTTGGACAAAACTGCCGGAACCACCATCACCACCTGTATGGTTAAATGATATTTTTCCTCCTCCCCGAAGAAAGGTTCCTGATTGATGGCTAGATGTACCGCCATTGAACTGTTTAAAGTGTGAATTACCCGTTGGATATGTAGAACCCGTTATGGTTTGGTAGTGTGTGGTTCCACTATCTAAAATTTGTAGCTTAGTTGGAGTTTGGAAAGCAACCGAATTCTTACTTATAGGACCCATGTTCGTGTTTAGGTTAGCACCGCTTTCGTGTCTATACGAATGTTGAGTGTTATCAAATGTTCCTTTGTTATACATACTTAAACAATTGGGAGCATGCTGAGTGCAGTGCTCGTAAGCTTCATCGGGTGTATGTGCAATTTTTAACATTTGCAAATCGCCCTTAAATTAAATGATTTAATTGATAAGGAGTACATTCTTGCTAGCACTCACATTGTAATATCCTTCGTCTGAAAGTTCGTATCCAATGGTGATTATACCAGTAGTGTCAATTGTCGATGTACTGGAACGGGCCAACTCGCGTGTGATTGTTGTTGTACAATCTATAGTTGCAGTAACGGAATCACCTTTTACACTGATCGCAACACGATGCCACCTGTTAGTCATAACATGACACAATCATTTTGCGATAATGTGAACTTACTCTCCATCGTCAATAGATTTACCGAAGGAAATAAAAGTACCTTCGTCCGGAATATCTTCAAAGTCTTCATAGTAGATGCTAATATCCCTTCCTACTGTAATAGATAGCTGCTCTTCACCTTCATCGTTATAGATAGTGAACAGGGGAGACATTTGACCTAAAGGTTACACATATATTGATTAATATATTGTACTACAATAGGCTAATTTACCTGACGACGGTCTAATCACTAATAAAATGGAAAAGTCTTTTGGAAATCCGTTGGGAAATATTTGTTGAGCCGTAAGTGAAATTTGCGCACGACTTCCAAATCTATAGGCCCATTCTGAGCGCGGCGGATCCCTTCCTTCTGGTATGTAATCGGCGCATCTTCCTACTATCCTTAAAATACCCTCAGGTTCATCCCATAAATCAGCCTTTTCAATGAAATCCACTATATTATCTAATTAAATGAATTGCATTAGCAAACAATACAGGGTGTGACATATAAGTATATAAAAAAATTGTAGGGTTATGAGGGGAGGGGAGCAAGAACCTTTTGCACTTAAACTGTGGGCCCAACGTTAACCCACCCTTAAAAAATGGTGAAATTTGCATTTGTTCTTTAATCTCTCAGTAACCATAAGATTTACAAAAATTGGTGCCATGTCTTTCAATAGGTTTTGGGGTGTTCCCTTTCCGATTTTGCAAATTTTTTTTCAAAATTCCTACCACGAACGAGCGCGCCTCTAAATGGGGTGCGAAACAATTTTAATTTCGACGAAAGTTGGTATTTGGGGGTTGAAACATGAAGATCACGCATCTAAAATTAGTTTTTGAGAATTCAAAAAAAATATTCTACTGCAATTCTTGGCCGGACAACGAACATGTAGCGAATTCCATGAAAATTGATGTGTAGGTACATATTTGATGAGTTAAGGAACCAAATTTTCGAACAGTTTTTAAAATCACTTTTCAAACAAAAGTTATACTCATTTGAAGATGGGTCCGGCGGGTCAGAAAGTGTCCCTCGCCTACTAGTGAGTCATCTAATTTCGCATGTAATGTAACATTTTCCCACCAACCGAGCCACGCACAATCTACATATTATTGGAATCGAATTTGTAGACTTGAATACCATGACCGACATATCGAATTTTTTAACATCATGTAATTATAATATCGACTTAAATCGTTAATTTTTTGTTATTTGGACTAGAGATGTAACAGAAGTGGTTATATTAGAAGCTAATTCGGAAGCGGAGTTTTTAAATTTGGTTTATCGGAATCGGATTCGGAACCGGAATCTGAATCGAAACCGGAATCGGAACCGTAAAGAAGAGACATGTCACATCTTAAATTACAATACTAATAAATATGTACAGGGTGTAAATCGAAAAGTGGAACATAGGCGTACGCGTTTAACATGGGAAATTACTTTTTCTTTGGGCAAACGTTTCCTAATTATTAAGGATCCTCAGATCCTTTATAGTTTTGTATTGTCGTCCGTCCGTCCGTCCGTGTGCGCTCTAACTCTTTTTAAAAGTGGCCGATTGTGTTGAAATTTGGTGTACGGGTACTTTGGACATTAAGGACGGGCGCTATTGATTTTCAGGAAGCTGGTTCAACAGAAACGAAAGTTATAGGACTTCGAGTGAATCGGGAACAGGAAAAACTGTGGGCTCAATATAATACAAATCAAAATATTTCATTCCCTAGGTTATGTATCGAGTTCGGACTTTCGCTAGATTATTCCCTATGACCCTTAGATGTGTAATAATTCAATATAACTCTTCTCTGTGGTATAGGTCAAAAGTTTTAGAGCAAAATGTACCCAAAATTATTCTTTACACACAAATTTGGAGTTGTAAAAGCTTTCAAACGCGTTATCTTGATGCTGAAAGAGGACATCACGTGCAAATTTGATAACCGCATGTGTGTGGTTCAAAGATGTTAAATTATTTTTCCGAGGTCACATCGGTTTTGATCAAAATACGTCAAAATCGTTATTTATGCACCAAGATCGTTGGGAAAAAGACTAGGGGCATTATCTCAATGCCCAAAACATGAATTTGATGCATTTTTGGCGACCACGTGGATTTTGATCAAAACATGTCAAAATCGTTATTTATACACCAAGATCGTTGGGAAAAAGACCAAAAGCAGTATCTCAATGACCAATACATGAATTTTGATCTATTTTTGGCAACCACATGGATTGTCAAAATCGTTATTCTTGTACTGATATCGTTGGGAACAAGATTAAGAGCATTATCTCAATGACCAAGACATGAATTTGAAGCATTTTTGTTAACTATGAAATGTATTATGTAAGATTAAAATAAATTGTCGTTAAAAGTGATTGTAATACTGAGGATCCTTCGATATTTCGTTGTATCGGTTTATTTTACGCAAAAATAGTTCAAATAAAAGTTATAGAGATATAAATTCTGCATCTAAATCATGTGAAACGATTATTCTACCTCTTCTTGTACGCGAAAAAATTAATTAAAAGGATTCTGTTTTCTCGAGTTTTTAGTGTAAGTAGCCATGGACTATGTTTTTCTTTTATCATAGTCCATGGCTACTTAGACTAAAAACTAAACTAAAAAATCCTTACAATATAACCGGTTGTAAAAAGTCATCCCTAATATTTTATAGCAGAATTCTTAATGTGTATTTAAAATATTTTTAAGCTATCTTTGTATTAGATATATTTTCACTACCACAGATAAATACCAATATTATAGAGATCAACTTGCGCAATTTTACAGCTCCGTTTAGGAGTGCGTCGTTATTAGTTGCAGGGCCGTAGCCAGAGGTGGACGAATTAGGGCACCGCCCTGGCAGACAAAATTTTCGCCCTGGCAGGAGAATAGCGATGAAATTCTAAACAAGGATAAATTGTGCAATACTCTTGTGCAGATAAAGCGCATTTTCTTTAAAACATTCATTTTGTCTTTGTAAGTACCCTCCTCCCATAATCCACTCTTGAGGTATAAGGAATTATAATCGTCACGATAAGCGGTTAAAATATCTTAACCTTATCATATCCAATCCAAGCGATAATACACTTTTATTACTGCTGCATTGTCTGTTGTTGGCTGATAATTTGTTAAACGCAATGAAATAATCAATCAATGACCTTGAACTTGAACTTTAACTTTTGAAAAAATTGCCTCTCTCCCCCTATAGTTAGCGCCCCGTAAACACCACTTTTTAGCGCATTTCCACAAAAATAAAAAAAAATGCACTATTGTGGCCACTTTGTCCGTCCGTCCGTCCGTCCGTCCGTCCTCTCGTTTTGCGACGCTACTAGTTCTTTATCTTAAGAGCTATTGTTCTACTTTTTTCGCTATTTGGTTCGTTATGGTGTCGAGTCTTGCACCAAGGAAGGAATTTTTTCTGTAACGCTTACAAAAAAAGTTATTGTAAAAAAAACAAAAAACCGTTTTTTACATGTTCCATAATTTTACACTTTTGCCGTTTATTAACGATCCTAGAGATCGTTTATAATTTTGCATTGCTGTCTGTCGTCTGCCTGTTGGTCTGTCCGTCTGTTCTTTGTCTGTCTGTCCCTCTATCTGTCCGTGTGAACGATAACTTTGTTTAGAAATGTCCGATTGCTTTTACATCTCCGTTAGTTATGAACTGAATTGCATGAAATTCAATATGGGCATAGCTTTAGTCATATAATACGCAATGCCAAAAGTTGAGTCGAATCGATTCAAAATTCACAGTGCCCTTTTCGCATCTCGACCATTTATAAACCGAATTGCAAACTTTTTTAATTATAAAAGTATTTAAATGAAATTTGATACATAGCCACTTGGAATAAATGAAAATCAAACGCCAGTTTCAAAATTTGGTTTTGCGCATGCGCAGTGCCAACTTTTTTATTTATGGAAAAATTTAAGCGAAATTTGATACATAGGCACATGGAATAAAGGAAAATCAAACGCCAATTTCAAAATTTGGTTTTGCGCATGCGCAGTGCCAACTTTTTTATTTATGGAAGAATTTAAATGAAATGTGATACATAGGCACTTGGAATAAAGGAAAATCTAACGCCAGTTTCAAAATTTGGTTTCGCGCATGCGCAGTGTCAATTTTTTTATTTATGGAAGCATTTAAATGAAATTTGATACATAGGTGCTTGGAATAAAGGAAAATCTAGGGCCAGTTTCAAAATTTTATTTTGCGCATGCGCAGTGCCAACTTTTTTATCTATGGAAGCATTTACGTGAAATTTGATATTTAGGCGCTTGGAACAAAGGAAAATCTAACATTAGTTTCAAAATTTAGGTTTGCGCATGCGCAGTTTCAACTTTATTATTTAGAAAAGCATTGAAATGAAATTGTTACTTGAAGTAGCACGTCAAAAGTGGATTGCCCATGTGCAACGCTATCTTTCATATTTGTGGTCGGATTTTTACGATTTTAACAGAAGTTGCATCTTACAAATGGGAAATGAATGCAAGTGGAAATGCGCTTTATGTAAATCGTTTACGATTACTTTTTAACTTGTTTAATTCGCGCTGGGTATAACAATCAAGACCCTGATAGCAACAAACCTCTGGCTACAGTCCTGATTAGTTGTACCTATGCTTGTAAATCTGTCTTAAAAATTCCTACTCCAAGATGATAAATCGATAAATTTTTACATGCTTTTAGCATTGGAAATGCTTATGTTTAGTACAAGTATATTGAATTATATTTTTCCCTAACTCTTGTCTATACTTTTTATTTAAAATCGTAAACTTTTTGTAGCAAACTAAATGGTGTCACTAAAGAAAAAGTAAGCCGCCACCTGCGATGGCGAGCGCGCGCGTGCGAATTTTTTAATTCTATTGATGCTGACTGGCGGGCGTTGTCCCACAAAATCGCTGACTGACCAGTTCCGTCCCGATATTTAAGTGACTTTCATTATAATATACAACAATACTATTTGTGTAATAATTTTCAGCCTTAGTATATGTTGTCTGTGGCCTTAGTAAATTCATTTAATTACTAAAGTCACTAAATATAGAAAGTACCGCAATCCATTGGGCTCGTGTGTTAGAGAGAGAACGCATGATTTTTGCCCAAAAATGGCGGAAGTTACCAGATTCTAGTAACTTTAATGTTAGGGATTGTTGCACCTGTTTGGAGATATCGGTATATATTTTTATAAAACATGACAGTACTATGAAGTTAGGTTATAAAAAATGACAGCTATTCAGATTTTATTTGTCAATTTTTTAAGTTGGCAGCAAATTTGCCCAAAAATGGCGGATGATTGCGGTACTTTCTATATCTAGTGACTTTATTAATTACTAGGCAGGTACGACATCTTCGGGAGCGTACCGGCGGCGCCTGTTCTCACTTTCATTTGTCTGACCGCAGTATGTTTATACACACAACTATTGTAATGCACTATGAAAAAACCGGCCTTAGTAAATTCAAAGACTTTTTTTGGCGCTG